AATTTACTACTGACTATTTAATGGAAACTGAAACTTGTGTGATGATAAAAGGAATGGTTTGGTACTGGGGTTATAGTTATCTAAATTAATCCCTATCTATCTAGTTTTCAAGGATTCAAATCGCTTATCAATTAGATTTTTATTGAGCAAGTTATGGCTAATTTACTACTGACTATTAAGTGGAAATCGAGAAACAAGGGAAACCGAAATATGTATGATGATAAAAGAAATAGTTCGGCAGTGGGGCTACAGTTATCCAAATTAGGCATATAATGTATTAATTTAAATCCTATTTGTCTAGTTTCTAAAACTGTAAACCTCTCATTAATTTGATTTTTATTGAGCAATTTATAGTCAATTTATTATTGACTGTTCAGTAAAAGTTGAAATGTGTGTGATGATGCAATGGATGGTTCGGCAATAGGGCTACAGTTATCCAAATTAAGCATATAATATATCAAATTAAAGCACTATATGTCTAGTTTCTAAAGATTCAATCCTCTCATCAATTGGATTTTTATTGAGCAAGTTATGATCAATTCACTATTGATTGTTCAGTGAAAACCGAAATGTGTGTGTTGATAAAACGAATGGTTTACTTGACCCAAATTTAAGGGATTATCATATTTGGATTGATAAGAAATATTTCAAATAACACTTATTAATTGGAAAACGGAATCAGCCAAAATCAATTCATTTAACATATATACTTGCACATCAGCAGGACATAAACAATTAATCATTTATATAATAAATTAAAATACACGAATGTTTTTACAGAAAACATATTTAACACAAATGAATTGTTTCCACTAATATAGATGTAACACATACTCACAGTTCAGCTAACAATAGGATTGTCCTCGATTTTATCTTAGTAAAGTATATGAACATTTCCTTGAAAACAAACATAACAAAATTTAATCGATCTTTATGTTAAGATTGTTAAGGAATAATTATTCATTCGTATAACAACTGTTACCTGAAAACAAAATCAACAAATGTTAATTAATCTTCATATTAAAATTGTTAAGGAATACACTTACCGTTCGGTAGGACTAACACAATTAATCATTCAAATAGATTGACCGAACAAAAATAATCATTCAACCAAATGATAACTGTTAAAATAGTTAGGAGATATATTTACAATTTCATATTAAAATAGTTAGAAAATATACTTACAGTTCAGAAGAACGAATCAAAATAACAACCCATTTGACAATGTCAATCGGACATCCTTCCTTTATTCTATGCCAATTCATGAATCTTTGACCTCGAATGCTAGCACAATTAAATACGAATTGAATACGAAGAAAGGTTTGTAATGTCAATACAATGCACCTATATAATTATTAACAAACAGGTATGCTTATACTGCCAATGCAACCTATGTAATTAAATCTTTATGTCTATTTATTTAGACTTTGGAATACTAATGCAATAATAAATATTGTCTATATCATCACTAATAAAATTCAACCACATGATAATCACAAATTCAAGATGTTATTATGGTTAGACCTTTAGAATACCAATGCAATGCACCTATATAATTAGTATTATTATTAATTATTAATACAACCAATGCAATACACCTATGTAATCCAATCTTTATGTCTATTTATTTAGACTTTAGAATATCAATGTAGCAATTAATATTGTTTACATCATCACCAATAAAATTCAACCACATAGCAATTATAAATCCAAGGTGTTATTATGATTAGACCTTTAGAATGCTAATGCAATACATCTGTATTACCATTATTATTATTAATTATTAGTACAGATTTTTTTTAATTAATTAATAATTATAGATTGAGCAATAAATACTAACCTAACGTATCAAGATAGAACAATTTGATTGTCTTATCAATCCAATGTGTCAAAATGAAACAATTCTAGAGTTTTCAAAATATGCCACGTGTCGATCAACCCACATGGGTATCCAACTTTTTATATATATATATAGATCCTTAACCCAACTACCATTCAAAATCTGAAAAGAGTGATGCATACATTCTAAAAAATATCATTAAGACCCATATATATGGAAAATTATCTATCTGCCCTCACATTTTGACAAACCATCACTCATCTTTCCTTAAACTAGTTAAGGAATATGAAGTTGATCTATAATGATTTATATTACAATACATTCTTCAAAGATTAAATCCCTATAACACCCTTCCACTAAACAAAACGATAAATTTATTTTTTCAATTAATATATGTTGATACGTGATTTTGACACTAAAGACTTCACACATGCAAAATGTCAAGAGATCACATGTGAGATGATTATTGTAAATGGGTAAGGTACTGTTTTCATAGTAGCATGCAAAGACGTAAATAATAAAGGAGACAGTAAGTTTTTATAGTGGTTCAGATGCTAAAAGCGAATCCTACATCCATTGTATTATTTTATATGAGTATGTTCTTAGTCGTTAGCTAAAATTACAAGAGGTCGCGAACTACGATTTGGTATTACAAGCGCTTGGTGGTCTAAGTATTTTTAGAGAATGTCAAGCTAGTCTCTTTCTCATAGTGTGTGACGGATGAAGATGTAGACTACATCATGAGAGAGATACATGAAGAGATTTGTGGTAATTACACTGTTGCACGCAATCTCTCGCCAATAAAATTATCCGACAAGTATATTATTGGCCCTTACTTCACGAAGACACTTACAACTTTGTGAAGAAGTGTGACAAATGTTAGAGATTCGTGAACATACCACAAGCTCATTCCTACCAATTGACAACGATGACTAACCCTTAGCCATTCATTATGTGGGGAATTGATCTCATCGGTCCCATGCCAACCGGTAAGGGTCGCATCAAGTATCTAATGGTCGCAATGAATTATTTCACAAAGTGGGTCGAAGCAGAATCTTTGGCCGTGATCAGTACATAGAAGTTCAAAGACTTTATCTTCAAGAATATAGTGTACCATTATGGAATTCCTTATATCCTTATCTCAGATAATGGAAAACAGTTCGACAATGAGAAATTCAAGCTGTTTTATGAATACCTGAGGATTCAGAAAAAATTCACTCAAGACCACAATCTAATGGGCAAGTTAAAGTTGATATGGGTAAGGATTTGTCAGCACCTCACTAAAGGTGAGCCATGGTTTTTTAAGGATAAATGGGTCTAGGTAACTTCTTTTAGAAGATCAGGGGAGGTTGATAATAAGATTGCTCTATTCTTCAGGCCTATTTTGTGTAGTTTCTTCACGATGAGCCTACTATAGTAGATCTTACAAAAGTAGAGCTTTTTATAAAGATCAGGAGTGGTTGTTAATAAGATTGCTCTATTCTTTGGGGCCATTTGGTGTAGTTTCTTCATGTCGAGCCTACTATAGTAGACCTTACAGAAGTAGAGCTTTTTATAAAGATCGGGGGCGGTCGTTAATAAGATTGCTCTATTCTTGGGGCCTGTTTGGTGTAGTTTCTTCACGTCGAGCCTAATATAGTAGATCGTACACAAGTAGAGCTTTTTATAAAGATTAGGAGAGGTTGTTAATAAGATTGCTCTATTCTTCGGCCCTATTTGGTGTAGTTTCTTCAGGTCGAGCGTACTATAGTAGATCTTACAAAAGTAAAGCTTTTTATAAAGCCATTGTGCTTTTAAGAAAATAGAGCTTTTATGAAACAGTTGAAAGATAAGTTATTTACCCATAGAAATGTACAAATATTTTCTACTCTAAAATTATCAGAAATTGTTATAAAAATATATCAACTCAAATTTATAGAATAATATGATAATATTTTAAATTTCAACCCTATGAATAAGTTTAAGACTAGATAAACGTAAAATAGCTTAGAGTATATTTTGTTTGTAATATGAAAAACTTGTTTCAAAAACTAATATTAATATATGATTCAAAATTTTGAATTATATCTTAATATTTTTATTATTTGAAAAAATGTTTAAAAAATGTTTTCAAATGATAAATTATAGAAAACTACGAGAACGATTAAAAAAAAGCTCTCTATTTTTACAATAATTTTTAGGATTATATCCAATACAAAATCTGTAAAAACATTTCAATTCATTTTTTTCATAAAATTATTTTATCTCATATGTTTTTAAGGAAAAACTATATTTAAATTTTATATTAAACTATTTTACTTATGCTAGAGTTTTTTTTTTTTTTTTTTTCACTGGTTTTGAAAGATCTTTAATTAGATTGGTTTTGAGGTATTCTAAAACCATTATTTACCAGATTTTTTATGCACTGGTTTTGGTTGGCTCAAAAACCCGTCATAACCAGTGTAGTGTATTTTTTAGGGGTTTATAAAATACTCCAAATCGGGGTGTTTTGGTTGGTTTTAAAATTTTATTCCACAATTACCCTATCTACTACAAAACTATCCCAATTATATCCAAAAAAAAATTTAACCATATTATGCGCGTCTCCAGTCATATTAAATATAAAATAATTTTAAGCAATCATAAAAAAAAAATTATTAAAATCTCATTTCTAGATGCTTTCTTGGATAATTGAAGCTATAATTTTTCAATCATTCCTGATACTGTAAAGAATGGCGAAGAAAGATAAATAGACTTTATCACATTTGAAGTTATAAAATATTAATAAGTAGAAAACAAGTAAAGAATCCTTACTTTGTAATTGATAAAATAAAACTCTCAAGAATTAGTTAAAATCGAGTATCTTACTTTGTAATTGATAAAATAAAACTCTCAAGAATTAGTTAAAATCGAGTATTTTTATGGACATATATATATATAAATTTATTATTTTAGAAAATTGTTAGGACTTAGAACCATTGATATATAAACTCTCAAGGTTAAATGTTTTGAAAATCACTATTAAAACCCCTCAATTATAATGGTTCACCCTCGTAATCACTATAGTTATTTTACCATGGTAGCTTTTACTACGAAACTCCCAAACGGACCTCAGAAGATTTCGCTATAATTGTTTAATCTTTAATCTTCCATAGTCAAAATTCTTTGAATTTGCAGCCATTTTCAGTTTATATATGTAAACTTTTTCTTTCTCACGCCTTTCCTTAGAGATCTCAGCAGGATCTCTCTGACTCTGTCTCTCTTTACCACCAGATCTCATTTCATTAGACCCCAACTTTCCCACCAATTTTCTTGCCAACCAAACAACCCCGTACCACAGAAACTCGCTTTCTTCTTCGTTTTTCGACATGGGTTTGTGCTCAAACCCCTCAAAACGCTTCCTCTTTGTAGCCCTTTTCGTCGTTTTGGCTCTCTCTCCGATCTTTGCTCAGGTTTTTTTCTTGTTCTTTTTTCATGAGTGTGTGTTTTGTTTTGTTTTGAATTGTTTTGTTTTAATGTGTTGTGGGTTTTGCAGGAGGCTTTTGTTGATGCGGAGAATGACGATTTAAGTCGATCAGTTAAAGATTTGGGCCGCCGTGGCATGGTGAGTTAAGTTTATTGTTTGGTTGCTGAGAAAATTTGAGAGAAAATAGGGGTAGAAAGACAAATTTGAACCTTTGGGTAGATTTGACTTCTGAGTCGACCCTTTTAGAAGTTTGGTCTAAGCAGAGGAAGAGCCCTATGTTTGGTATAGAACTTCGGGGAGGTGAAAGAAAATTTAAGTTTGTTATTTCTTGTTTGTTAGCTGAGAAAACTTATGAGAAAAAAGGGAAACAAATTGAATTTTGAACCTTTGGATAGATTATACGATCCTTTAGAGGTTTGGTCTAATTATTACGTCTGATGAAGAAAAACGAACAAACCTAGATGGTTTATCGGGTTCTTTTAGGGGAAAGAGTAGCAGATTTATTTTGTTACGGTTTTGCAGATTTTCAGAAACAACCTTGACACTGATATTGCTGCAATTGGTTATCATGTCGAATCTGGTCTTGGAGTATTTGATGCATTTGTTGCAAGTTTTTCGATGATTCTTGTCAGCGAGGTTGGTTGATTTTCAATTCGATCATTAGTTATTTATTGCATTCTTATGGATATGGTGACAATTTTGTTTTAATTCAATAGTTATGTCTCAAGGGGAAAAAAAAAAAAAAATATTTTAATTCTGTTTGCTATATATTTATCTAATGAACGTTTGGGTTGGTTGACAAAAATGCTACTAGATTGGAGATGAAACTTTTATAATAGCAGCTCTGCTGGCAATGCGGCATCCCAAGTCAATTGTTTTATCGGGTGCTCTTAGTGCCCTGATTGTTATGACTGTAAGTTGCTACTTCTTGTTTGGTTAAAGTATTATGCACTCCATTTTGTGACTTTGCTCATTGTGGTTTCTGATAATGCAATGCATTTGCACGGCGTTGTAATGAAATTGTTCCAGCAACAATGAAAAGCACTACCAAGTGCATTTCTCTTATACTTGATGTTATCAAGGTTAAAGTTATTGTACATGTCCATTAGGTGCTTTCTACTGGACTCGGTAGGATTGTGCCAAATTTGATATCAAGGAAGCATACCAATAGAGCAGCTACAGGTATTTATCTTTATTTTATCTTCCTCCCTGCTCCCTCGCCTCTTTTTACCCTGTTACCTCTAGCTCTTGTATTTCTCTTTCTCATCTTTTTACCCTTTATTTGTTGTTCATGTGCATATTTTTGTTGTGCATGGTTTTATTCTTTGGCTTTGTTAAGTCTTCGACTAGTATTGGAGTTTTTACTGTTATCCTTGCTTTTGGGTAAATCTAGTTTTATTGACACATTGAAAATCAATGTAACAACTTTTAGACTTAATTGAAAAGAGTACTGGATGCCTTATAAGTAACTTTAAACTTTGAGGCCACAGACAACTTCAGCTAGTCTTGTAAAACAACTAGTTCTTAGTGAATTGCATTTTGGTTTTATTTTTTTCTCCCAAGGATGGTTCAGTTTTGTTAACACAGTGAACTCAATTGAAAATGCATACCGATGATGGAACTGAATTCTTATATATCATGTGTCTTCGTATGAGATTTTTCAATCTTTCATTTCATTTTGTACTTATAGTATTTCGTCCTATGTCATTTCTATCTTGTTGGATAATGTGAGCTGTTCAACCATTAAACAAAGTTAACATAGTCCATGCATTGTGTTCCTTTTTGTATGCAGTTCTTTATGCATTTTTTGGGATGCGGTTACTTTACATAGCTTGGAGATCAGATCCAAAATCAAGTCAGAAAAAGGAAATGGAAGAAGTATGTTTGCATTTTTTCTCCCTGCAGAAGTCTCAAAATTGTCCATCTTATATGTTATTTTTGACCATTTACCCTGCTGTTTCTGATGTCATAACGAATAAAGATGTTCCACAAGTTTTGTTTCTTAGAGCATCTCTAATGGTGTTCTTTATTTTGAAGAGCATCTTTCATATAAATAAAGAGCATCTTCAATAATTTTAAAATATAAAGAACACAATTTTTATTCAAATCTAATAGACTCTTTAAATTTAATGAATATGCTCTTTATTTTTAAGAAAAAGACTTAATGAGAGAGAAAATTAATAAATAAAATGCATAAGAACTTGTAGTTTATTAATTAAAATAAGAATAGAGAGTGAAATTTGACTCTCTAAATGTGGGGAGTCAAACTCACTCTCTAATTTATATTTTAAAGATAAAGAGTCTATTGGACTCTTGTTTTTATGAATAAACTCTTTATAATAAAGAGTTTGAGTTATATAAAGAGCCCTTTGGAGATGCTCTAGCTATTTGATCTTCTTCTTTTAGATTTTGCATTATTTGCACTTTCAATGTTCTTCTTGTCATTCATCAATTCAGGTGGAAGAGAAACTTGAGGGTGGGCAAGGGAAATCAACCTTCCGCCGCTTCTTTACAAGATTTTGTACACCAATCTTTTTGGAGGTAGGTTCTGGGAATCAACTTTCTGATGCATGAAATTCAACCTTTTCAAATTGTTGATGATTAGTTTTTTGGTTTTACCAGTGAAATGTTTCAAATATACTGCTTGCTGCATTCTTAAATATATTCACCATTAGTCTTCTGTTCATCATCTCAACCAAGCCTCTGTTTTTACTGCAGTCATTCATTTTGACGTTTTTAGCCGAGTGGGGAGATCGGAGCCAGATAGCAACAATTGCTGTAAGTAAATGCTTTCTTTTCCCAATTCGTTGTGACTCTCTACTCCTGAAATTGATTTAGTATTTGCGTAAGTAGCCGCCCTATATAGCTAGTATTCTAATTTATAAATCCAAACATGTTTCTCGCTCATCCCAATTAGTCCATTAGACATTACAGTTCAAGATAGAGCTGCATTACCCCAAAATCGAGACGGGTTCTGCATATCTCTCCCAAATGCTGTGTTTAGACCATAATCCGTTATCATACACATCTTAGTATTTATTTTACTTCAAAAAGCTATAATGTCTGTTTTTGCAGTTGGCGACACACAAAAACGCCGTTGGAGTTGCAATCGGCGCCACGATCGGACACACAATCTGTACATCATTGGCAGTGGTGGGAGGAAGCATGCTAGCATCAAAGATCTCTCAGCGCACCGTTGCCACAATTGGAGGCTTGCTCTTCCTTGGCTTTTCCCTGTCTTCATACTTCTATCCTCCCCTTGGAGAATGACCAATTCTTGTAGGCTAACCTGATTCTTTAAGAGCAACTAAGCTCTTTACCTGAAAATTCTCTCTCTCTCTCTCTCTCTCTCTTTTTTTTTTTTTTTTTTTTTTTTGTTGTGTAAGCACAAATTTAAAAGGATTTTTTTTTATACTAATTGGTTAAACACCAGATTTTTCCTCATATTCTTTTGTAAATTAGCATAAGAAATTACATTCAGATGGTTTTGTGTGAACTTCATTTTGTTTTCTTTTATTTGTTTACAAAATGTGATTAAGTGAAGAGTCTAATTGCAGAAATTGAAAGAAATATGTGTTGATAGAGATTTTAAATGATATTTTCTTTAAAATAAATTTTATTCTCTCTTAAAACTTTGGTTTGATAGTAAGCAAATATATTTGTTTCGAATAACAAAAATGGAATATTAAAAGAAAAAATATTATTCCATAACACAAAAATTCTTAGGTGCCATTGGGGTACGTAGTTTTTATTTGGTCGATAGTTTTTAAGTCTTGGAGGATTATACTTGGTCGATAGTTCTTAAGTCTTGAAGGATTAGTTGATATATGCATAAGTTATTTCAAACATCTCTAGTCATTAAAAAAAAAAAAAAAAATTTCTTAAGTGTACATATCTTCTTGGTTTTCTTGTGTGTTAATTAAGGGTTAACCATTTGTTGATTTTTGGTTTACATTTCCAAAAAATTCAATGTGCACACTTAAAAAGAATAATATTATCATGAAATTTGATGTTGTTAAATTAATATTTTTATTATATTATAATAATTTATATAAAAAATACCAATCTGATAATATTATTATAATATATGTAAGAAAATGACTAAATTCTGAAGTCACTTTTTTATTTCTATTTTCTTTCTTAGTTTCTCACCACCCAAACGGAAACGTTTAATTATTAAATACTTGACAAAGAGCAATATCAGATTGAGCTAACTAAAACTAACAACCAAACCTCATACAATGAAATGGGCTTGTCTTGGAGCCTCATGTTTTGGCGCCAATGAGCTCCCAAAACATCTTAAAAAAAATCTCACAAACCCTCTTAAATTTGCCTTCCATCACATTCAATTTCAATGTCACCACTACTCCTCTTTACAACTAAATAATGATCAAACAAATGATTCTCAAGTCCAGACTTTCCATGCCCATTTGATCAAAACTGGATCTTTCCAAACTTTGCAAGTGGGTACTTATCTTTTGGGTCTCTATGTAAAGTTTCAGAATTTAGTGTATGTGCAAAAGGTGTTTAAGGAAATGCCTGAGAGAGATGTTCGTGTTTGGACGATTCTTTTGTCAGGGTTCTCGCGTGGTGGATGTGGTAATAGGGTTTTGGATTTGTTTAGAGAGATGCAAGCAGAGGGTGTTTGCGCGAATAAATTTACGTTGTCTTGTGTTTTGAAGTGTTGTTCTAGTTTGTGTGAGGTAAGGTTAGGGAAGGAGGTCCATGGATGGATTTTGAGAAATGGGGTTGATTTGGATGTTGTGTTGGAGAATTCTGTGCTTGATTTGTATGTGAAATGTCAGGCGTTTGAGTATGCAATAAGATTGTTTGAACGGGTGGAAGATAAGGATAGTGTGTCATGGAATATAATGATTGGTGCATATTTGCATATTGGAGATGTGGAAAGGTCTGTTGATTTGTTTGAAAGGTCGCCTGAAAAAGATGTTGCCAGTTGGAATACGATCATAGATGGGTTAATGAAGAAAGGGTTCGAAAGGACTGCAGTTGAGCTTCTGGGTAGGATGATTAGTAGTGGACTGTCCTTCAACAAAGTAACTTTTTCAATTGCTTTGAATTTGGTTTCTGCTTTATGTAATGTAGAACTGGGAAGACAGATTCATAGCCGTGTTCTAACATTTGGTGTTCAAGATGATGGATTTATAAGGAATTCACTCATTGATTTGTATTGCAAATGTGGGGAGATGGAGAAAGCATCTTTTGTTTTTGGAAAAAGGTATCCAGAGTCAGCAAGAATACAAAATTCCAAGACTTCCTGTGAGGCAGAAGTAGTTTCATGGAGCTCAATAGTTTCTGGGTATGTTCATAATGGTGAATATGAAAATGCGTTCAAAATATTTGTTTCTATGGTTCGTGAACACGTTAAAGTTGACAAATTCACCCTCACAAGTATTGTTTCTGCTTGTGCTAATGCTGGGATTTTGGAGCTTGGTCGACAGATCCATGCCCATATTAAGAAAGCCGGACACAAAATTGATGCTCATTTGAGTTCCTCTTTAATTGACATGTATGCTAAATGTGGAAGCTTAGCTGAAGCTTGGGTGCTTTTTAAGCAAACTGAGAATCCGAATGTTGTTCAGTGGACATCAATGATATCTGGCTGTGCTTTTCATGGACAGGGAAGGGAAGCTGTTCAGCTCTTCGAACACATGATCGAGGAGGGAATAACGCCGAATGAGGTTACTTTTGTTGGGGTTTTAACTGCTTGCAGCCATTCTGGGCTGCTTGAAGAAGGATGCAAATACTTCGAGTTGATGAAAGAAGTCTATGGCATAAAGCCTGGTCTTGAACATTTCACTTGCATGGTTGATCTTTATGGACGCGCTGGTCACTTGATTGAGACAAAGGACTTCATTTATAAGAATAATCTCTCCCATCTATCTGCAGTTTGGAGGTCATTTTTATCTTCTTGTCGACTGCACAAAAACGTTGCAATAGGGAAGTGGGTTTCAGTAAAATTACTTCAACTTGAACCATATAATGCAAGTCCTTACGTTTTATTATCGAACAGTTTTGCCAGTGAACATAGATGGGAAGAGGCAGAAAATTTGAGGAGTTTGATGCAACGGAGAAGGGTTATGAAACACCCTGGTCAATCTTGGATCCAGCTAAAGAATCAGGTCCATTCTTTTGTCATGGGAGATAGGTCACATCCACAAGAAACTGAAATATATTCATACTTGGAGAAGCTAATTGGGAGATTGAAGGAAATCGGGTACTCGACCGATGTAAAAATGGTAATGCAGGATGTCGAAGAAGAACAACGGGAAATGCTAGTTGGTTTCCACAGCGAAAAACTTGCAGTTGCATATGGCATCATTAGCACCCCAGCTGCAACACCAATTCGAGTAATGAAAAACCTGCGCGTTTGTGCTGACTGTCATAACTTCCTCAAGTACACTTCTCAGCTCTTAGGTAGAGAAATTATCGTTAGAGACATTCATCGGTTTCATCACTTCAAGTACGGTCGTTGCTCGTGTGGAGATTACTGGTGATGAAACAAGATTCTGTCATGTGCCTGGATTGCGTTTAATCGCTTTTCCAGGTTGTTGCAATGCAGAGCAGAGTAAAAATGGTGATTGTATAGTGTTCTAATTCACATCAAATGGGGCAAGTTTAAGTTTATATTTTGATTTAGAATTCTTTCAAGTATTCATTTAATTTGTAGTTTAACATTATGGAAAGCTAATCTTTTTGTAAATGAATTGTTGTAAAAGAAAGAAATGGAATTAGTCTTTTTTTTTTTTGGTTTCTGAAATTGTCACTTGAGGCTCTTATAATTTTTGTTTCAAGCCACTTAATATGACCAAAGGGTATTTCAGTAATTTTCGTTTTCTTTTTTATAATATAGTATTTCAATATCAGATACGTTTTCAAATATTAAAAATACAAAACTCAATTGTTCGTTTTCTTTTTTAAAAACAAATTTGAAAATAGATAACAAATGACCGTCATTGTCATATTTCACATTGCTAGCGAATGAAAGTTCGGAAAATTTTATAAAAAATTGTATCATTTTTAAGAAAGTACGTGTTATGGTTGAATGATGCTTGCGTAACGCTCAACAAATTTCATCCACCTCTCCCAATTTAAAAAAATTATTAAATATCCTTCTAAAAAAATTGTAAAAACCCCACTTTTAAAATATTAAAACCCTGTTCAAAAAGCAATAAATAACCCTTGTAAAATTATAAGAACCCCACAATAAAAGTATTAAAATAGTAAAAACTCCATGACACTGAGACTTAACGATCTCTTAAAGACGGATAATATCAACCCTAAATAAAATAAAAAGAACAAATAATACCTACTCCATTGAAGCATGATGTTGTCATCATAGGTTAATTATTTTAGAACTCTAAGGCAGCATCATCATCAGGGATTTGGTGAGAGGCAGTGAGAGGAACTATCATAAATCTACATTTGCACAACAACATCAACATCATTGATTTCTAACAAATCTAACATCAATTTTTTTTTTTTTTTTTAAATTTTATATCATATAAATTATTTCATAATCTACAAGTGGGAATTGATTACTTCATTCCATGTAGCTTTTGGAACACTCATTTTATTTTATGCTAATTTAAGAGTGTTCACATAAATTTTAACTATACAAACGCAAAAAATTTGATTATATCAATACAAATTATTTATTATAAATTAAATTGCATAAGGCAAAAAAAAAAAAAAAAAATCTCAATTGTAGATATGTTGTATATAAAACCAAGGGATCTCCTATAATACCAATAGTAATATTGATTTATGTTTTAAATATTACCATTCAGTCTATTAACATATTACAAGTCTTATGTTCTATGTTATCGGAGACATAGTCAAGATTTTTTGTTAATCCACGCTAAACTAAATATTATATGGGTATTACTAAAGATAATTTTACAGGTCAGTGAACATAATACCATTATGCTAAAAACCGATATTAACATAATTTGACACAATAATTCTAAGTTGATTTATTACGTTGGGTACGATACTGTATCGTAATTCTTTCGATAAATATTCATATTTTAAAGAAGGAAATAAAATACCATAAAGTTTAGTCATAGTAACAACTATGTAATGATAATTCTTCAAGTGACTACTCATTCTTTAAACTAATTAATTAAAATATTTTTTTCTCCAACAAATCTATCTTCAGATTTCAACCATCAATTATGATTCTACTTCTTTGGAATCAAGAAAGGTTCAATTTGGTCTCCATCACCAAGAGTGCTTCTGTGTTTCACTAGATATTGATTTGCTTTGGATTCACTACTTCCAAGTTGGTAGAGTTCAACTTAAGTAAACAAAACAAATCTCCAAAATGAAAGAATATTTCATATAAACCCTCTTATATTTGGCATTATTCTCTCACACCCTATTTAGCGACAAAACTAACAATTTGCACCCCACTTTCGTTATCGTATCATTGTCTATTTATGTTTTTAATATTGACATAAAATAATTATCTTCTGTTCAAATTAAATTTCAAAATGTAAGAGATATTCTTAATTTTTTACTCGTCAAGGCAAGTCAATGGTTGTCGGGTGAGATTAATGTTACGTATGAGAACGGAAACTCTTGTCGAGAACCTTTATATATCCCAATTAATGTGTGGCACTAATGCGACCATTAATTTGACAAATAATCTCATTATTTTATGATTAAAATGATATTTACTACCTAAAGTATCACATATGATTGTAAATAGAACGATTATACGTCTATGATCAGAACCAGATATATCCAACACATATAATTTATTTGATATATTAGAAGAAAAATGTGAGGTCCAAAACTCAATCTTATAACTTTCTCTCACAATTCCCGACGTGACAGTTTGTTATTAGTCAACTCACAAATGGGTATCGTCTACTTGTTGTGGGTCACGTTTACTTGATAAATTGCGGGCTGTCACATCAGGGTTGTGAGATTTGGAAACCATGAGGCTAACGAAACGGTCAACGAAATTTTAAAGGGTCCACCCGATATTTCCCCAAAAAAACAAAAGCCAACTAAAATCCCAAAAGCTAAAAAAGAAAAAGAAAAAGAAAATGGTGGCTTATTGTATAAGAGAGGCAAGTGAAGGTAGGAGCCCACTGTAGAAATCTTAAATAGGAGAAAAAGTTTCTTGAAAGAGATTTACAAATTAATGCAAAAATAATTATCAACTCCACCTAATTTATATATTTATTAAACATTTTTTCTGATCTCATGTCTCTGAAAAACTGTTATTAAATTAGGTTAAACTGAATTCTCCATTCAAAAATTCTCAATTAATTCTTCATTACACGTCCAACTTTACCTATCAGTTGGTGTACATTTTCATTCTCTTCTATCTCAATTCGTTTATAAAATTTTCTCCTCTACCAAACAAACATTGATCGTGTGGAGCCTGACTTTGTGTACGTACTAAAATTATTGTAACTTGACAGCAAAGCCAAGAGCTAATTACAAAGAAGGGTTTCGGTTTATTTTCATAGTTTTTGTGTTTTCTTGGTGGCTGTTTCTATAGAATTTTGAGTCTGGGCAATTGAAGAAGAAAGTATTATGATGAGAGATAAAATGGAGAGATTTGTGTTGCTTCCTTTCTCAGCTGGATGTATTTCTGAATCCAGCATTGCGGTGGGTGTTCAGCAGCAGCAGCAGCCGTCGCCACCGCCACGAAGATCATCGTCGTCCAAGCCAGCTGCGGCTGCTGGTGCAGAGATTCATAACTCTTCTACTACTGCAATAAGTCTCTGATCATCTCTCTCTCTCTGTTTCTGTTTTTATTACAAATTCATGTTTTGGGCTCTATGTTCATCTGGAAGTTCATTTATTAGGTTTTTATCTGTAAATTCAGAAAACCAAAGGGTCTTATATATTTGGTCTTGCTTTGAAAATTTGGTGCAGAAAACCAAGAAGAAGATGAAGAAAGTATATCAAGTGAAAGCATGAAGGGTTCATTCAGGTCCCTCCCCAACTCAAAGCCTGATTTATCAACTGGTCTCAATAGGCTTTGTAAGGGCTTAAAAAATTTCTCTCAATTCTTTGGTAAGCCTCCATCTCATATTATTTTTCTATATAGTTATTATTATTATTATTATTATTTATTTATTTATTTTAAGTTTACAAATCCTTAATTTCTCGTTAACTCTGAAGTAAATACATATACGATAGGATTTTATTGAACAAGTCTTACAAGTGATTTGATACACTGTCCATTTAAGACTATGTTTGACAGTTTTAGTGACTTGTATTCAATAGTATTATAATACAAAATATATCATACTTTTTCCTTAGTTAAACTTCGATAAATTAATATCATTGAGACTATGAAAATTTATTAATTAATCGATATATTATTTAATCAATATTATTAATTTATCGAGATTTAACTATATATATATATCCTCCAACAAACTAATTCGAACTTAGTTCTCGTCAATAAACTTATCCATTATTCTTGTATTCTTCTTTCTCTTAATGAACACATTGTGGTTTGATTATTCATCTTGTAGCATACAAAGAAGAAGAGATGGAGGAGGAGATGGAAATAGGGCTGCCAACAGATGTGATGCATGTCACCCACATTGGACTTGATGGTTGCACTACAACTACAACGAATAATAATCAAAATCAAAATAATAATAATAATAATAATTCAATCAAAGGCAGCAATTGGGAAAATCTCATGGCTCCTGGGTTGCTCTCTTTGGGACAATTTGAGCTTTCAATGGCAGCTCCTGCAGCTACAAAAGCTGACGATCGTGAAGAAGCACTTCCTGCAGAAGCACTTGTCAAGAAGAAGAAAAATATAAATATTAATAATTCTATTAATCAACTTAATTAATTAATAATCATAATAATAAGAATTAAGCACCACAGCTTAATTCTCTCTCTCTCTCTCTCTCTCTTGTATATTTAAGCGTCTAAATCTTGACTATAATCTGATTATTAAACTCCCTCTCTCTCTCTCTCCTTGTTATAATACGTTTCATGTGTATCTCTAGAAGTTAAAGTTTTCATATATGGTGTTTGTATGAATTTATTTTCATATTTTTTTTTGTAATTAATTATGAGTGAAGAGTAATACTTTAATATGCATATTTTTCTAGTTATTACTTTGCCATTATATATATATATATGGGGACTTCTTTAAGTAAATTTTACGAGTACCTACTTAAATACCATTGCATTAATCTGTAAAATATTATTTCAGTCCAATAATGATGAATCTAATGATAATTAAATATAGTCCTCACAAAATTTAAATAAAGGTGTTCTTAATAAAGAATTAGTCTGTATAAATATGAAAATTTTTAGGTGTCCACTTAAGATCCAGACCTTAATTCTTGATACTATAAATAAAGACAAAATCTTGCATGCAAACATAAGTTAACTCTCGCTTGCTAGCAAAGAGTTGAGGTTTGATATTTGAATTCCTATATATATATACCCTTTTTTTTTTTTTTTTTTTGGTGAATAAGAGGTATCTATGCTCGTTTACGTGCACCTCAATCAAATAAATACTCTAGTGATCACCCCTATTAGCAACCGATGATAGACTCAAGCTTAAGACTTCGTGAATAATACACACAAGAGTCTTTATTAAACCATTCGACGGTTGGT